CTCTGGTTGGCAGTCCGGGGTCTTTGACAATTGTTAATTTGTCACATAAAACAGCACCATCGGCTTCACATATGAGCACATAAAAACAGGTTTAAAATAAAAAGAGTAAATAAATAAATGATGCCACTGATAAGTATGTCAACATATTGTACAAAACGTTGCTCACGTACCTTTTTGTACGTCTACTTGTGGTGTCACAACTGTATGTTTTCCCCTATCATGACCAAGGTTAGCATCTGCCACATTCACATGCTGACGGGTATCGTTAGCAACATCATCATCATCTGATGACAATCCCAAACTATAACTGAGACCCTCTTCTTGCATCCTCTTGAAGGCTTGTTCTTTGTCTCGTTGTTTGGATGCCCTCACGATTTCATAGATCGCCGCCAATGTTTCAGGTGCATTCTAGAACGCGTCGTCAGCTGTCTGATATGCGGAACCCTTGTATTACCATCTAATCCATCGCTATCCTTCGATTTTTTGCAGCGTTGTTGACTCAGTCCGTGATGGGCAGTGTGACCTTCAGGTACTTCACGATATACACCAAGAAGTCTCTGGGCCGCATCTCGCATTTTCAAGAAGTTATCATCTTCAAGTAAAATTTGCGGCGCCTTTTCAACTAGTTGTAGTATTTCGGCCCCAGTTGTGGCAAGCAGTAGAGTTTTAGATGCAAACTCTTGTACATAAGCCTGTAGAAATGACTATGACAAGTATAAAAAAATCAAATGAATTTAAAGCACGTATATATACTTCATACACTTATTAAAACAGGTATTCATGCACGATTATACAAACTGCAATACACGATTATACATAGATTATTGCACGTTTATATATAATGGTATCGCACGTCTATGCATCGAAAAATGCACGCATAATAACACTATATAACAGAACAAAAAGTAATAAATTACTAAAATATTAAAAAGATAAAAAACACACAAAAAAAAGAACTTTGTGCGGCTAACAACAAATAAACTCGTGATTCTATAACATAATTGTGAATGCACATTAACGACAGTTGTAATGCACGCACTAACATATAATGATGTACATCGCACACTATTCTAATGTGTTGTAACACAACAGTTAATAACAACCACATGGAAACTTAATGTACTCGTATCAAAGCATAAACGTCTCGCATTAAAAGTTAGAATTCAGACAACCTGTACGTTTTGACCTTCATCGCATCCGACACCATCTTCATTGGCCTTGGGACCAATTTTATCCAGTTGTCGGCTATCAACTATCAGGCATAAGTCTGCGTCAATGAAACCCCTACCGAACGATCCAGAATCAATCTCATCGAGTTCCCTGGCTTGCAATGTCTCGTTGCTCCATGATCTAAATGTCGGGAACATCCTTGGAACGGAACGCACGGATAGGACTACTTTATCTACATAGAACAACTACACAAAACGAACCAATAGTGGATAAGAATTTGGTCGATAAAATATAGCAGATTAAAAAATGAATAAAAAATTAAATAGATGAATAGGAAACAAAGACAGGACGACTGACCGTCAAAAAGAGTAAAGGCCCTGTGTATGTCTTTTTTTTTTTCCACTGGAATCCCATATTTTCTTTGTGTCAACCAAGCAACGAATCATATACGAGCACCAATTCATGTTGCTGACCTTTGATAAATCATCAAGTGCGTGAACTAACCGAAAGTTTGCCATGCCATTGAGGCAACTCTGGAACAAGCAAGTCACCATGAGGACGATGAAGTGTTGCTTGAACCAATCATCACCTTCAACACACGCATTCATTTTATCTAAAACCTTTGATGCCGTAATATTTGACGTTGTTCGCACATAAAAAAGTCGGATCCAATCGTCCAGCAATGTAGATGTAACTCTCTTATTTTTATTTGTAAGTTCAATCGCTCCACTGGGTAGTCTAAAGACAGCATGAACGTCGTCTTCTTTAACGTGACCCTGTCGCTGCCATACAACTGAAGTTTTCTGTCCAAGTGGTTGAAATTGTTCCCCAACCAGAATGCCATCTTAGACGCTGCTGTAGTTATGCTCAAATCTAACAAATTTTCCAGACCCATTTCATGAACCGCGCATTTTTTTGCGTCCGTCAGCCCAGAAAACGCCTTCACAAACATGGCTGTAGAAGACCTTGTATTCACGCTGGGGAACACATCATCGTCGTCGGTACCAATATCGATATCAGCACAATCTGAATATCATGATCAGGTTTATAGTCCTTATCGTCCAATTTCATTTTGCCCTTATCTGAAAAGAGTAAAGCATTAGAAAGATCGTAAACATCAAATACATGCATTAATGTAGGTATATGTACACATATAATTAAGTACGCATACCATGCTGTTATTTTGACATCTCTGTCATGCACCACCATCAGCCGTTTTGACAATACCAGTATGTCTTGCTGTTTGCACAACTTTTTTACGCTTCGGAAGGGCACCACCAGGTTCTGGTGCGTCCAGGGACCTCTTAGACGCGTGATCTGGAAAACAAAACAAGGGGTTAAAAACAAATATATGAAACGCTAGGTCTTATGACGAACGTTTTCAATAATATTTACCTTCTTGATTGTTGTCGCGTTTCAGGGATGTGCCAATTTGTTGTATTAAGGCCAAGCTTGTACGACTTCGGGTCACTATCGAATGGCATCAACCATTAGGCATTATATAAAATAACAAGATTGAGAATACGAATAACAAATAATTACCGAATGAAATTCGAAATACATTATCGCTTAATTATAATATGCATACACAACGCACGTACTAGGTGATCGGTCTGGTACGCATATATCAACAACACTTTTGCCTGTAACTAAAAATAGAAAATGACTACAATTAAAAACACACGCAATACATGAAAATACTCAAATGGCATAGCGTTAAAAAGAACAATGAGATCACGGTTATACCTCCTTCACCACAAATTTTGGGTACGTTGTCATTCGTCTTATGTGCGGAACCTTTTTGTAGAATACCTGTACAAACGTGTATATTAATCAAGAATAACAGAGAAATCAAGCTAAGCTGTATATTGTATTACGTACAAGGGATGCAATTGTGTCCATACTACAGCCAATTTAAATTCAAACCAGTCCATATTTAAAGTTCATCAACACTTAAACCCAATAAATCACATATGGCAAACTCCAAAATATACAGATTTTTTACCAAAACGCACACATTATCAAATCATCACAAACAAAGCCACAAAAACAGCATCAACCGCAACATCATATAGGTTCTTAACAAACTCCAACACAATAGCACATTTTCACTTCAGAGCACACGAAGCACACTCGAAATTTCAACATGCACGATTGATTATAAAAGTGCAAAACGAGCAATTATATATACGGTTATTTCACAAATGTCGGCACCTGATGAACCCTATTTTCCATTTTTTTATTTATTATTATTTTTTTTCGAAACAACTTCCACACGTTATATATCATAAAAGAAGGGTATTGAACATAAAATAGAAGATGCGCTTGCCCAATTCGATTGTGGAGATTTTTCCATCGTTTGAAACTACCAGGCGGTTAATCGAGCATGAGAATCGAGAAACTTCAAATAGATCTACTGTTAATCGACGATTATTCCTTCAATCAGCTCGAGAAACTTCACAACTGGTGATGATTGATAATCGAGCATGAAAATCGGACTAAAAATCAACTGGAATTTTCAGCATTAATTTGAAAGTGGAGCACGTCTGGAGAGAAACCTCTCGGATTCCAAAACGTAGATCTAGAATGAATGCTGGATTAATGTGTCTGAATTCCCTATACCCTCTGCTGAGATTATAAAATACACTAATGCCCTCAAGCACAAATAAATCACCGTAGAGTTTCTTGTATTTACGTTAATGCCACCACTTTTTTCCAGGTGCGGACAGAACAAGCTTTTCGATCTCAGCCATTAATTAAACAGATCCGACAGTGTATAATCGTTCTTATTTCTTTCACTAACTTCTTTTCTCATTAGATCCAAATTCTCTCTCTCTCTCTCTCTATAAAACTACTTGAATTTTCTGTATTTTTCTATTACAATCCACTAATTTTTTAACTAGTAACTGAAATCAATGATTTTTTTAATATAATTATTAATTAAAGTATAATTGTATAATTAATTATTCTATTATTTAATAGCTATTACTAAAATTAACCAAGTATAATTCACACTAATGATATATGGAAGTTCAATTAGTATAAAAAATTATATTGCAAAACTTTTTTTTAAACTATTTATTGCTCTTAAGCATCTTTTTTAATAAGCTAATTGATTTTAGTGATATAATGAAACCTCTTAAAACTTTCAACAACAACAACAACAACAACAACAACAACAACAACAACAACAACAACAACAACAACAACAATAATAATAATAATAATAATAATAATAATAATTTTTAAGATAGATATTGGCCAGGATCCCTCATATTATAAAAACAACATTATTTGTTTCAGTTTATGCAACTAATATAGTGATGAAGTTAAGTACTTTTATAATGTTCATTTTCACTAATGACAAAATTTTTAAAATATGATACTATTATCTAAGTTATAATTTTAATATTATATATATTCATATAACTTATAATAATTTAAATTGTGAATGTGCACATGATCAGACACTAGTAATTACTAATTACAGATTTTATAATGAATACATTGTGTTATTGCATTTTACCTTGNAAAAAAAAAAAATAAAAAAAAATGAAATGGTTAATTTCTTTTCAATAATGAATTCAGGAGTCCAACCCAATTACGAATGCAATAACCAAGCCCAACAAAATGGCCCAACCTGCTCGCCGACCAAACTCTTATCGTCGATTTTTCTTGTTATCCCAACAAAAAATTGGGGATTGGATATCTGTGTCGACTCAATTAGGCATATTGCTGGAATCAAAGTTCAGACGAATCACGCCTCATAATTTTCATTCGATTACAAGGTTAATCCGTTTCCGAGTGCCCTAAATACCCTAATTTTCCGATCAATTTCGGTTTCCAAATCTTCCATTCGTGCGTTGTCCCGCTAATCCATCAAGATGCCGGCCACCGCTGGGAGGGTTCGCATGCCGGCGAACAATCGGGTCCACAGCAGCGCCGCTCTGCAGACCCACGGCATATGGCAGAGCGCCATCGGGTACGACCCCTACGCGCCCAACAAAGAGGAGAAGAACAAGTCTACCCACAAGAGCTCCTCCGCCGCCGAGCTCGAGCCCGAGCCCGAGAACCCATACGCCAGCTTCCAGGGTCTGCTCGCCCTGGCCCGTGTCACCGGATCCAACGCTGACGAGGTCCGTGGCGCGTGCAAGAAGTGCGGCAGGGTGGGTCACCTGACATTCCAGTGTAGAAACTTCTTGAGCATCAAGGACGAGGTCGGTAGGGAAGGTAAGGACTCGGACTCCATTCAAGCTGCGGCCTTGTCAGGCCTGGAGAAGCTGAAGGGGGAGAGAGTGAAGTCAAAGGGGAAGACTTCCTTAGAAAGCGAGGAGAGCAGTGAGGAGGAGGAAGACAGCGAGAATTCTGATTCTGATTACGATTCTGAGATAGAGAGGGCTATAGCCAGAAAGTATGGGAAAAAGGTTAGTGGTGGGAAGTCGAGACCGATTAGTAAGAAGAATATAAATGGTGACAGTGATGAGAGTAGAAAGAAAGAGAGGAGGAGAGAGAGAGGGAGGTCGAAGAAGAGAAGTGGTGGGAAGAGGGAGAATATCAGTGACTCATCGGATGAGGAAGAAGGGAGGCGAAAGAAGAAGAAGAAGGATGATAGAAGGAGGAGAAGTGATTTTTACTCTTCGGATGAGGATGAGAATCGTAAGAGGAGAAAGAATAGGAAGGAGAAAAGAAGGAGAAGGAGCCATAGATATACGGACGATGAGTCGTCCGATGATTCTATTAAGCAGAGGAATAAGAGGAGGAGCCGAAAGGGGCATTCCGATTCAGATGTGAGTGGCTCAGATGATGACTCGCGAGTTGGGAGGGACAAGAAGAGGTCTGGAAAGAAGAGGAGGGGCCATAGACGTGAAGAGGATTAGGTTATGGCAGGAGGTCATGTCTGAAAAGGTTGCTGTATGATTTTTCATTTGATTGAAGCAAAATTTATCTCTGATGAAACATTAGTTTGTGTAATTTTTGTTGATTTGGGTTACATTGGTTGAGTCTTGATTTGATATCTTGTTCTGGTTGTGAGAACTCTTGTCAGGTTATGTTATCTTGTTCTGGTCTGGTTTTTAAGTATGTACTACTGCTTATGAACAATATTATCATTGTTTCTCCTTGGGTAGGGAGATTATATTTCTTGTCTGTGATTTATTCTTCTATAATTTAAATTGAGTAATTGAGTAAGTACATAGGCTGTTAACATATTTATTTATGAAACTTGATGTTTTTGTGTAGTGTCCACAGTCCATCAAGGAGAAGAGTAATCATCCTGAAGCTGGCTAGGTGTTTCTATGGGAGGGCCTTGTGTGTTGCTATAAACTGTTGCTGCTTTTAGTTTTTCTAAGTTGTGATTTGTCGATTCTGATTGATGATGTTACTGATGGGGAAGGTTCGGTTGATCTTTTTTGTCCATCTTTTCGTAGCTTGATTTTCGTTTCACCTAGAGTCATTCTGCTGGATTGTAGAACACTGGTCCATAGTTATCCTGCAATTCAATTTTTAATACTATGAATGTTTCAAAAGTTTCAGGCGTCGTCCAATATTTTAAATTGACAGAGTCATGTAGTGTACAATTTTTTTAAGAAGGGCAAAGTATGTTTGATAGTTCTTTTACTTGTGGGAACTTAGATTATATTTCATCTAGTGGACAGAAGAACACAAGGGAATCATGCCTTACAGCACCTTCCTAACCAATTGCTCCAACTAGTATGCCCTTCAAAGCTATTTCTCTTCGATTATGATTTCTTTCAGCTCCACGCTTAATATTTGTTCCCCTTAGAATGGAATCATTCAGCTTTAAAAAGTGAAAGGGGCAAAAAGAAGAAAGTATTACCAACAAAGCATTCACAAACGAAAGAGAAAGACCTACAAAGAGAATAACCAAACAATGAAATCGCCAAACCTACTCAAAGAAATACTAAGCAACATCAAACAACCAAAAGGAGACAAAAAGCCCTAAAAGAGAGGAAACCGAAAAGACAAATCCAATGATTGGAAACCCTAAAGTGACGGAATTAGTAAGGTTTGCACTTGTTGTATTGGTGTGCAAACATGAACCAGTGCATGTTTATGAAGAGATACAATATCATTGAGCTGCCGGGGGTATAAATGTCATATGTAAATGATTTATTGTTGCTAGTTTTATGTAAATTTACAAGACAAAATAGTATATGTGTGTGTGTGAACATCTAGTGATTGGATCAATTGGTTCTCTAAATGTGAATGTGAAGCTCAATATTAGCTATTAAACTAGTATTCGATCTCGTGCAAATGTACATATATCAATAAAATTTTATATATTATATGTATGTGTATGTAATGTTTAAAATCATAAGCTAGATAATGAGCATATCACATTTTTAACTTTAATCATTAGTAAAAGTGCACGATATAAATATAAGCTATTAACTTACATATTAATCTTTATATTGATTGCAATAATATAATTTTTTCAATCTTGGTTGATTAACACCAATTGATTAGATAAAATAATAATAAAATTATTATAGCAACTATATACGAAATGTTAAAATATTTGGTTGTATCATAAAAAAATTTAACTAATTTAATTAAAAAACTTGCTTATTGAGTTAAAAAAATAATAATTTTAAATAAATAATTTGAAAAAAAGTTTTAGATTAGAATATCATTTAATGTGACTTCATGGTTTATTAGTAGTAGTTGTTATATAATAAAATATATAAAAAATATAAACACTTAACTAATGCAAAAGTAACGGAGAATTGAGGCAACACTTAAAGAGATTTATTAAATTTGTTGCTAGCAATTATATATATATAGAGAGAGAACAAGATGTGTGAACAAAATTAATCTTTTATTTTTTTAATTATTTAAATATTAATTTGACTGCAGACGTTGACGGTGGACTTCTAGTTTGGTCGTAGTGTAAATTATGTATAAACTAAATATGCATTGTATAGAATTAACACACAAGACTACAAACACACTACAGAAACTAAAAGCTCCCAAGAGGAGAATGAGAGAAAATGACCCCAACAGAGTAATGCTCACTCACAACTCGGGTAACACCGGGACCAACAGCCCAAACCAAAAACACAAGACAGAACGACAAAACACAGGCTAAACAAGCAAGCTAAAAACAATACCAAAAACCTAACAACAAACTAAAAGAACGAAGCCCTCCCTCAGCAGAACATCTGAACTGAACAGCAAACAAAGGCCGACTCCAAGGAGAGAACCGAAGCACAAGATCCACGCCCACCACTGCCTATCACCTAGCAAAGACGAGGGCCTGAGTCCCGAATCAAACCAAACAAGTTGACCCGCTCTCCGACCGTAAGAAGCCACAATCGCCCTCCAACTGGCTATCACCACTAGCCCAGTCCAACACCGTCCCGACCTCTACTAACACCACTAGCCAAAGCCAGAAACGGCTGGCCTCCCTCGGACTCCGCAACAGAGAACAAGGTAGGAAGAGGAGCGAACGGCGTCAAAGCCCTACCGAACCTACATAACCCGGATGAGCGATCCACACTCCGCCCAGCCCCAAAAACCCTGGCCTTCACCCCAGCGCCGTCGAGGTGCCGGCGACCGGAGGCCGCGAAACGGCCCCGACGGGAGTAAGAGATCGGAGACAGAGCATACCTCAGAGCCCGGTGAGATGAATCGCCACAACCCGGCGAGAACGCAGGCGGGTTCGGGCCACCACCATCTTCGGCCGCAGCACTCCACCGTTCCCCACTGCTTCGGGATTCCGGTGAGCTTCACCCAGATCCGAGCAATCTGTCGAAAACCCACCCGTGCCCCTACGAAGACGACGGAGAAGGAGAGCCCCGTGACCAAGTCCATGGTTGTGCAGTGGAGGACCGTCCACCGACAACCCAGACGACAGCCGAAGGAGGCACAAACCGGCTGAATTAGATAGAAACTAGGGTTGCGGCGATTTTAGCGATTTGGGGAGAGAAAGAGTTTCAATACAACTTTTTTTAAATGTGTACTCAAAATATAGAATTTCTGATTGACATGAGCTAAATATGCATTTTTTATGAACTAAATGTGCAATCATAATATGCAATGGATATCAACTAAGTATGAATTATTTATGAACTAAATATGCATATTGTAGGAACTAAATATGATGTCAAAATATGCATTAATATCAACTAAGTATGCATTATGTATGAATTAAATATTCATTATCTTTTATATTAATTATATAATAAAAATATTTATTGTTATATTACGTTAATTATATAATAAAAATAATAATTATTATATTAAATTAATTATTTAATAAAAAAATCAATTGAGCGGTTGACCGCCGTCAACGGCTGCCGGTCAATGACGGTCACATCTAGTAATTAATTTTTTATTATATGATTTGTTTAAATATAATAATTACTATGTTGTATTATATAATTGGGTGCGTTTGGTTGTGCATTATGGGAGTGATCACACCAGTTGCTATTATATCCACTGTGTTTATTGTGTGTGGTTGAACAAGTCTTGGCCCTGAAAAATGGACATGCCACGATCAATTATCCTTCAATTTGTTTATAACAGATTCGGCCAAATTGGTTGATTACCATATCATGTAATCACTCACAAATTTTGAGTTCCTAAAATGTCCCAAAAAAAATTTCGCATATTTTTTTGTCATTCAATATGGACATGCTCCTCTTCCTCCTCCTCCTCCTCCTCCTCCTCCTCCTTCTCCTCCTCCTCCTGTCAAATCGCAGACCAAAATCCCCAATTTCTTCTCCAAAATTTCTCCAAAAATCCTCCTCACTCTTCTTTTTTTTCTTCTTATCTTTCCCACAATTCCCATCACTGCAAACCAAAAACCCCCAATTTCTTCTCCAAAACCCCCCCTCATTCTTCCTAATTTCTTCTTTCCTTTCCCACAATTTCCATCACTAAACTCTCACATCACACATAATTCCCAAATTTATGAGCGGTAGACATAAGTTTCACGAAGCCCTATTCTACCGACCTGTCTTCGGCGAACTCCGACAGCAACAACAGTACGGTGGCAGCGGCAGACCGCTGATAAAAGTCTGAGCTAATATATGTATAATAAAAAATTATTTCATGACCAACTCAGATCTATCGCCATGACGACCTCGAAAGAAATATCCCTGACCTTTCTTATGAGCTCAGAGGCCTTATATTGATGTCCGAGTTTGAAAGACAAGGGAGCTCAAAGTTAAACCATACATGGGTCCAAATGGACTCACGCGGAAAGCAAGATCGCAGGTCGGGTTTCCGCCCGAACAGTAAGGTGTCGAACTATACAGCAGAGTTCCGATCTCAACACCCCCCAATGTGTCAGGCACAGACGATCCGACCCGAGAGTTCTTCTAGGGTCGGAGTTCCCAAATCATAGTTGAGAAAATGTTATAATAGTCAAACTTATAGCCAAATGATGGCTGATGGGGCTGGCACGTCGGCACTGCAGGCTTATGGCCCCTAGACTCCTAGAGTAGCATTTTAGCATTACATGCTTGTCATTCAACATTAAATTGGTGTGATCCGATGAACAATAGTTGGGGATGCCTTACTATATATAGTCCTAGAAATCTATTTGAGACAATTCCGATTTTTCAGACTAATTAAATACACTGTACAGAGACACCGTGACGGAATACCATATTGAAGACGACATCCGACCTCATATGGCCGGAAAGTCCGACCTCGATTTCCCTTTTTACGCAAATTCTCCATTTAGATCCAATTTTAACTACCTTAATCATCAATAATCTACACTAAATTTTCTAATCTAGGTTGATCGAATCTGTTGATCAACATTATTTTTGATAAATTTAGTGTAGAAAATATGAGCGTCACCTAATAATTATCACTTTGTTAGTTATTTATTATTATATATTCATTATTCATAATTTTATAATAAAANCTCCTACAGAGAAAATCAAGAATAACAATAATTAGACAGAAATTAAATCATCAAAGACAAATTGTCAAATACACCAATGCAGGCACCACAAGCACAACACATAATCAAGAACTACCACCCAACAATTGCTTTGCTTGCTTTATTTATTCATCATTTATTTATTTTCTGCTTAAACCCCATCGCACACTTTTGCCTTTCTCTCTCTATTTGCTCCCGCTTGGGGGCCCGTATTTTCAGATTCAACTCCCGAAAACTTCAATCTTTGTTCTTTCTTTTCTTTTCTGCTGTAAATTTCTAATCGAAATTGAAAACCGATACGTATGCTTTGATTGACCATCAATGGCCCACAATTTCCGCCTTATCTTGTATTGCAGTTTCACCTCCAGCATTTGAACTTTAGGGTTCTGGTCTGTGTGTTGATTTCTGCTTTTCTGCTGGCGATTTTTGATTAATATGTTAGCTAGTTTTTCCCGATCGCGGTCAGATCTTGAGACGTCCTGATCTGGCTGAATAGTTGGGATTTTCGACAAAAATGGAAAGTTGAGGTGAGTTCAAAAATCCTCCCGTTTTTAACATTTCTATGTTTGTTTTATTTATTTTATTTTTGTTGGAGCGTATATCTTAGATCCCTGGGAGCTGTGCTTCATTCTTTTCACCAAGTTAGGCAATTCTACTATGAAATGGATTTTTTTACATTTGTGCTTTTCTTAAACGGTATGACATTGATATCCAGATTAGGCTTGTAAAAGTTGATTTGATTGTTTAGAAGGTAAGTGCATATTGCATATTCTGCTCCCACTTCTTTTTTCAAAGAGATTATTGGATAATTCTTTTCAAATCTGGTAAATAGATAAAGCTAAAATCTGGCAAGTCCTCTTTGTGGTTTTTTGCTTTTTCCCCAAGCTAATTTAGTCCTTTTCTTGTACCAGATGTTAATTCATAAGCTGGCAAAACTATAGTACTGCAATTTCTCTCCTTTATCTTTGTAGTCATGAATATAGCAATCAAACTCATTCACAATTTGTTACATCTCGTGTCACTTTTCTTTACCATTTAGGGACGCGCCTCTGGTTCACAAAATATCACAAAAATTGCAGCAGCATTCAAGTTAACTTGAAGAAAGGCATTGAATTCGTTAAAGCACCTCGTGATGATAAAGAACATTCTAAACAAGCTTCCTCGCAAGCAGACCAAGCTAGTGGAAAATCGGGATGGCGGCCCCTCCAACAACTATCCCACCAATGCTTCCAGAAGCACACACCCCTCCAACTCCCGCCTGGCCAACCCAACACCGAACAATGCCAGCAGGCTTCCCCACGACCACCCGCTGAACGCAAAGGAAAACGGGAACACCTCATACGACCCTCTTCCCAGCTTCCGAGACGTACCAAACTCGGAGAAGCAGAACCTTTTCCTAAAGAAGCTGAATCTATGCTGCACCGTGTTTGACTTCACGGACCCCACTTCGAAGCTGAAGGAAAAGGACATCAAGCGGCAAATCTTGGTTGAGCTTGCCGACTATGTGGCCTCGGCCAACGGAAAATTCACGGAGACTGCTATGCAGGAGATTGTCCACATGGTCTCTGTGAATTTATTTCGCTCGGCCTCTGCTCAGGCTCGGGAAACCCGAGCCTCTGAAGCCCTTGACCTGGAGGAGGAGGAGCCGCTGATGGACCCTGCGTGGGCCCACCTTCAAGTCGTGTACGAGCTTCTCCTCCGTTTCGTGGCCTCTCCTGAAACGGACGCCAAGCTGGCGAAGCGTTATGTGGACCACTCTTTCGTGATCCGGCTGCTCGACTTATTCGATTCGGAGGACCCCAGAGAGAGGGACTACCTAAAGACTGTTCTCCACCGCATATATGGGAAGTTCATGGTCCACCGCCCTTATATCAGGAAAGCCATCAACAATATTTTTTACCGGTTCATATTCGAGACCGAGAAGCACAATGGCATAGCCGAGCTGTTGGAGATTCTGGGGAGTATCATTAATGGATTCGCGCTGCCACTGAAGGAGGAGCACAAGCTTTTTCTCGTGCGGGCTCTTATTCCGCTGCACAAGCCCAAGTGCATATCGGCGTACCACCAGCAGCTGTCGTACTGCGTGACACAGTTTGTGGAGAAGGACTGCAAGCTGGCGGACACTGTCATCAGAGGGCTTCTTAAGTATTGGCCGGTGACTAATAGTTCGAAGGAGGTGATGTTCTTGGGGGAGCTTGAGGAGGTGTTGGAGGCAACCCAGCCACCGGAGTTCCAGCGGTGCATGGTGCCTTTGTTCCGGAGGATTGCGCGTTGTATAAACAGCTCGCATTTTCAGGTTGAGATGAAGGATTCTCTTTTTTCTTATGTTTATTTCTTGTTTCAGTCTGATTTGATTGGTTAAAAGATGATGTGGTTATTTAGTGGGAGTTTGAGATCTTACGTGGGGATAACTTCGAAGAGTCAAAGATATCCTGAGATTTAGGCCTATAAAAAAAACCAGTTATCTTTGGAAACTACTACATGCGCCTTTAACTTCAAATATGTATTGCATATTTTAACTTCAAGAGGTTATTTTTTAGGTAAAATAGTATTCTTGGTTGGGTGTTTTACGTAGTAAGAGTACCGTTGAAGTGAAATATTAACTAGAGTCTTCTGTATTTTATAAGTGGTCTACATCTCAGATATTATTTGTTTTTAAAATATCCCATTTTTTTGTGCATCCATCAGATTTAGACATGTGTTTTTTTCCTTGTTTTTATCATTATGCGTCTAATCTTGAGTGTTTCTTTACCCACTTATGAAATTTTACACAGTAATCACTATTTGTTTTTACTGTTCTCCTAGCTGGTTTAAGTGGAGCTAATGAGAGGCTTATTTGACTGCATTCTTAATATATTGAAGTTCTATGATATGGTATATCTAATGTTTGTGACTCCACATTTGGTTTATTGCATGTAAAGTAGGTCAGACGTCAGAGATTTAAAAAGATGTAGCAAACTCTAGTTTCTGTTCTCAAAGGAAGAGAAAAAAAATCCAATATTTTTAGTCATTGGAAAGGACTGCACCACCTCATATAATCTATTTAACGACTTGGGCTTAAATTCTCATTTTTTTTCCTACTTCGGAGATTGCTTTACTAATGCGATTATTCAGTATTCTGTCTCCACAAATTTGTTCTCTTTGCATTGGCCAGGTGACCGAGTCAGTCGTCCCATATCTTTTTGCCAATGTTATTTCCATTCTGATTTTATGACTATGCCTTGTTGCTTACGCATGCAATTTTGCCAAAATAAATTATCTCAATAGGGATACTTAGTAATGGAACAACATTCTCACATAGATTAGCGTGCTACAGCTTTCTTATTAAGCGATAAACAGTAAGATACTGTAATAAAGTTGTAATCCCTGAAAATGTCCAGTTTTCTGCTGTCTGGTCTGCGCTGTAAATCTCATGATTTTTAGGTAAGATTATTATCTGCAATTAACTTGTGTAACACCTGATGCATCTTATTTTAGTTCTTGTATTTTCCCCTGTGGAAGAACAAAGCTCCTTAATCTACTATGATCCTTATGGTTTCCTGAACGATAAATTTCAAAGACTTGGGCTTTTGAGTTGACTTCAATGTTACCGTCTGTAAAAGGTAAATTAGATGAAGTGATAATCAAATTCTTTTTACAGGTGGCAGAAAGAGCCCTCTTCTTATGGAACAACGATCACATTGAAAACCTCATCAAACAAAACCGTAAGGTCATACTCCCAATCATCTTCCCCTCACTGGAGAAAAACGCACGGACCCACTGGAATCAGGCTGTCCAGAGCTTAACCCTTAATGTCCGTAAGATATTTTCGGACTCGGACCCTGACTTATTAGGTGAGTGCCTGCTCAAGTTTCAAGAAGATGAGTCCCAAGAACAGGAAATCAAGACCAAACGAGAGGCCACCTGGAAACGCCTAGAAGAAATAGCCACGGCCAAAGCCCATAGCAATGAGCCGGTTCTTGAGTCCCTACGGCCAAACATGAAAATGCTGTCTGGGTGAATAGATTTGAGGCCCTATGTTTTTCTATTTATTTTTTTTTTTTTTTTT